TAGGAAACCAATTTGAAAGCAGGAGACTGTTAAAAGAATCTGGGTAAGAACCTGAATCAGGGTGAGAGAGACGTGTCAGTATGTAGAGGCAGAGGGCGAGGACGAGTGGCCTCCAGATGCAGGATAACCTTGATGCACATCTTGCCTTGACCATTTGCTGTGAGTCCTTGAGCTGGTCAGGTACCCTGTGCCTTCTCCTAATGTAAACCTGGCTCCGCTGACCTCCTGCCGCAAAGAGCCAGGAAGATGGGATGAGATGTGGAACCGGGGTGGTGGGGGGGGGGCCACATTTGCATCTTGTCATTTTGATGATGATTAGGACACAGCAGCTGTGTCTCAGGGAGAAGTGTGGGTGACTTTGAACCAGAGTACTTGGGCAAAAGAAAAGAGCTGGAAGCGAGCAGAGGGGTTGGGTCTGAGAGCAAAGTTCACTTTGGGATGAGTTACGTTTGAGGAGTTTAGAATAGAGCAGAAGTCAGAGCTACAGAATTGTGTGCTTTTCCTCAGTAGGTTTGATCATGGACAGGGCAAGTGTATTTGCCTCGGTGTCCCCAGCGCTTTGGGCCTTTGGTTCCCCGCACACAACACCACTGCGGGCCCTACTGTCCGCAGTTGGTTGCCGCCTTTGAGTTTTTGGGCACAGATCTGTCTCTTCATTGCCTTCTCTCATAAAAATCCTCCTCTTGACAAAGCAATAATAATTTATTAATTATCACGGATTCATGAGGGAGGGGGGTGGGGAGGGAGGGGGAAAATGAGAAGCTGATAACAAGGGCTCAAGTAGAAAGCAAATGTTTCGATACTGATGATGGCAACAAATGTACTAATGTGCTTGACACGATGGTTGGATGGATGGATTGTGATAAGAGTTGTAGGAGCCCCCAATAAAATGATCTTAAAAAGAAGGGCTCTATCCTCCAACATGTAGGATATCCTCAAATCAATGATTTCAATTAACATACAACCCGATGGTCTTCCCCTGCACAGGGCAGGGTAGAAGCGTCTCTTCGTTCTCCCTGTAGCAAACGTAGATGAAAGGGACTGTGTTCTGATGCACTGTGCTAGGCACGTGGCCTCCAGCAGCGAATGGAAGCCTGCAGCCTTGCATCTACTGGAGACTTCTGAAGGATGAGTGAGCCTTCACCAGGTGAAGGGGGGGTGGGGAAGATGCCCTGCAAGGCCAAGAAATGAAGGGGAACAGGGCAGAGCCCAGCCATGAAAAGGGCTGATTGTAGACCATGAGCGGGAAGAGCCAGAGCTGGGAGAGGATGGAGTGGGTGGCCAGACAGCAGCCAGCTCCCGTGCAGTTGAGCAAGGGAGAAATCACAGAGCCGTTTTAAGCAGACAAGTGAACGACTGGACCGTTAGGGTAGTGATTCGAGGATTAAAGTGGCTAGTGGATACATTCAGCGGTGCCTTGGTGAAGCATTAAATGTGAAAGGGGATGGGGGCGGGGGGGCGGGTAACTCCTAGGTCTCTGTGTACAGCATCTTTCACTGAAATTTGCAACCAGGAGGACAGGCAGTTGAGGGCACCTGACATCATGAGCATGAAGTTACTATGGGCTGTTCCTAACTATAGAAGAGCCAAGAAGCAACGTAAATGCGGGTTTAAAGTTCTGAGACCTTATCTTTGACTCTGTTCATCTGTCTTGACTATTCTCAGAGGTTTGTGGCCCTGTTTCAGACACGTTCATCTTCTCAACATTTCAGTGTGGCCTTAAATGGGAAGTTTCCCCGTTCTGCAGCTTCTCTCCTTCAAACCGAAAAGGCAGGCCAAGATGGTCTCTCCGAGCTCTTTGGGCTTAGACTAGCCGGAGAAAGACTCTCGGTGGAAGGTGGAGTTTGGGGAGTTTGTCGCCCGTTGTTGTTGTCCACGGATCACTGAGAGCACTTCTGAGACTGCATCTTCTCGTGCTAAGAAAAGCCTCATTCAGATGTGTCCTGTGGGGCTCAGAAGGTGCAGCAGAAGATAGCATGTAGCCAGAACAAGTGTGATACATAACTGTGCGTCTCTTGAGACTTAGCATTCCTGCAGATGCCTCCAGAAAGGGGCGGTTAAGGAGTAACCAGTAGCATCAAGGGACTGGTGGAAGGAGTTCACCAGAATTTCCATTAAGCCCTTCGCCTGACTGCTGACTATACCGATGTGCATTCGCTGTGGGGGCCCAGAGTACCCAGTTCAGCGGGGCTAGGCCTTAGGCCGGTATAAACCAGCGAATTGACTCTACACATCATCATAAACCCAGTGGGAAGTATGGAAATGACCAGGAATCCTAAACCTTATTGGTCAGCCTCATCTCTGTGATGTATCTTTTTTTTTGTAATTAAATCATTTCATTGGAGGCTCGTACAACTCATCACAATCCATACATCCATTGTGTCAAGCACATTTGTACATAATTGCCCTCATCATTCTCAAACATTTGCTTTCTACTTGAGCCCTTGGTATCAGCTGCTCATTTTTCCCTGCCCCCCCTCCCTCATGAACCCTTGATAATTGATAAATAATTATTTTTTTTATGTTTTGCACTATTCGACATCTCCCTTCATCTACTTTTCTGTTGTCTGTCCCCCAGGGAGGGGGTTAGGCATAGATCCTTGTGATCGGTTTCCCCTATCTCCCCCACCTTTCTTCCCCTTCCGCTCATTGTATTGCTACTCTCATTATTGATCCTGAAGGGTTTATCGTCCTGGATTCCCTGTGCATCTTCTTGTCTGTACCAGTGTGCATGCTCTGGTCTAGCCAGATTTGTAAGGTAGAATTGGGATCATGATAGTGGGGGGCGGGGGAAGCATTAAAGAACTAGAGGAAAGTTGTATGTTTCATCATTGCTACTCTGTACCCTGACTGGCTTGTCTCCTCCCTGCAACCCTTACGTAAGGGGATATCCAGTTGCCTACAGATGGACTTTGGGTCCCCTGCTCAGCACTCCACATTGTGATGTATCTTTTTAAGATCAGAAATCCCCATGTATTAAAGAACACACACACTGTATTCGTTTCATTTTTAAGCCCTTCTAAAGGAAAACACCTGTTACTAGGTCAAAGGTCCTTCGGTTAGCTAGTTCCTGTGGGTCAGGAGGATGCGGTGAGTGACCATTGATCACAGGCCCCAGGAGGCCACCAACCACCCACATCCCCTTTGAGGGTGTTCCTAGTCTCCCGCTGCCATAGCAAACACGAGTTAAACATGTATGCAGGGGCTTGGGACTCTTTTGACTTAAAATGTCTTAAAATAGCGCGGTAACAAAAATAACAACAACAACAATAATAGCATGCCAAGCCTGAGAAAAGTGTTGTTTGTTTAACATCTGAAGCATGGGTTCTGCCCCCAGTCCGTTCCCACTGGCCGGGCTCCCACAAGAGCCTCTCCGGTGGGAATTGCGGTCTCATGACGGGGGACGCAGAGGCACCTGCTACGTGTTCTCTGGACCTCGCTGCGAGGGCCTTCCTGAGCCTGCAGCCGCCAACGCCCACACCCTGGAAACGGAAGTAGTAGCACGGAGCTGGTCATTTTAAAAAGAACTTCATGATTCGGCTCTTCGCTTTAACCTAGGTGCGCAAGCAGTTGGGATCCCACCACCAGGGCCTGAGGTGGGAACTGTAACTGCCTTGGGGCGGGGCGGCCAGGGACAGTCAGCCATGGTGCCTTCAGGCAGTTTCTAGGATGTGGACGACCTTCCTTCTCTGTGGATGGTCGTCTGTTGCATCTCGCTGTGCCAGCAGGCTGTGAAAAGCCTTGCCCACGGCCGCCACGGGTGCCCACAGTCTCAGCTCCTTCCTGGGGCACCCCCTTTCCATACCCAACAACGCACTTCACTGCGTCTGTCCGGCTCCCCTCATGGAAATCCCAGGCCAGACACGGCTTTGGGGGAGTCGGAAGCGTTGGGGTGTCGAGCAGGCTCGGGATGGTGTCCTGGGTGGCAGGGAAGGCCTGACACAACCCAAGGCCCGTGGCTCTGTGTGCTTAGACCACTTCGGAGCCACAGCATCCCTCCCAGGTTTAGGGAGTGTCCTTTGCCGGCGTCCGTGGGTGGCTTCCCTACCCTAGCTGGAGTCGGATTTGACAGGTGATAAAAGCACACGCCGAGGTTGCTACCTCACCGGATCCAAACTCATAGTCCTTGACTGCTGTTCCGTTTGCCTTTGCCGAGAAGCTGCTCCCTTTACCAGATCGCTTCCTGATCACAGTCTCGGCCCAGGCACTTACCCTTCTACCCGGCAAACGGGCTGGGGCTGGGGCTGGGCCTCCGTGGAGCCGGAGCCTCGGGAGGGACATTGAGGGCCGGGCAGTCGGCAACCTGACGCCCTTTGCTTCCACCCGGAAACTATTGTCGGTGTCGACATTGTTCTGCGCAGCTTGATGGAGCTTAGCTTTAATCAGTTTGCTACAGCCGAGCTGCCTCCCTTCTACTGTCTGTGGGTGCAGGATCCAAAACGCCTGCTGGGTACAGCGTTCAGCCCTGTGCTTCTGAGAGGTCCATGGAAAACGCTTGTGGTCACCATGTCCTCATCAGCGATAGTCATGCTGAGGAACTGAACGGTCTTGGAGGTCTTCGGTCTGCCAGGGTCCTGCCAGCCCTTTTTCTCCCCAATGAGTTCCCCTCGTGGCGTTTCTCCTGCCAGCTCCTTGGAGGCGGGTGCGGGGAGTTGCGGGATGGGGTCACCTTGGTTGGTGGGGGCAGGAGCACCCCACTGTTTCAGGTCCCGTCCCCTGGGATGGTTACAAAGACATCACAGAGTATCCGAGCTAGAACCTGGGCAGAGGGCCCTGCGGCCAGACAGGCAGCAGAAGGTGCTGGTTGTAGGTACTGTCCACCCCCCCACCCCCCACCCCCACTTACTTAGAGTTTGGGAACCACATCCATCAGGTTATTAAAAGAAGGGGCGTGGTTTGACGTCTGGGATTGATTGGGGCTTGGGGTTACTGGGGTCTTGTTTTCGGACTTGAAGCGGCGGTCTGGTAACCTCTAACTCTCCCGTATTCTTTTCTTGCAGATGAGCTCACAGTACCTGCACTTTACCCCAGTAGCCCTGACGTGTGGGCCCCGTACCCTCTGTACCCAGCGGAGTTAGCGCCTGCTCTACCTCCTGCTGCTTTCACCTACCCCGCTTCACTGCATGCCCAGGTAATTTATACCCATCGGCCACCACTGCACTCACCCCTCCACCAGCCTTCTCAGACCTGGTTCCCCAGAGCGCACCATACAACTAACACCTGTCCAGCTAACAGATCCACCTTCGGGAGATTAATGATCCCCCTCAACCCAGCTGATGCTCCTCCGGGACTTACGAGGACCATCTGACAGCAATGACGTCACCACTGCCTGATGTTTGCCCCAGACGACACCTCTCCCTTAATGATCTCACCCTCATATCACACAGGAGGGACTGGGCGAGGTTCCCTCCCCAGCTCGGCTAGCTGGAAGGCGGGTGTCACCCGAGTGGAGGCGTGGAAGGGGCTGCAGGGGAGCCGGGCCCTGGTAGCTAGAGTCGCGTGTGTCTGTGTGCGTTTCTGTGTGTTGAAAGGTGTCTTCTCTCATGTTCTCTGAGCATCTAGGGACCCCAAGGTGGGGGGAGTTTGGAGCACCCAGGAAGAAGTCTTAGATAATGCTTTACACGTGTTACGGGGGAAGATTAAGGGAGGCGGCCCTATTTTTAGGAAAGGGCAGGAAGGAGGTCTAGAATGTAATTACAGGTCAAGGTAGAGATCATGGCGCTAGCGGACTTGCTGTCTTAGGTAAGAATAGCCCAAGGCTGACAAACAAACTCCTGGTCACTCCACGAAGATGGCTGTCCATCTGCTAATGCTTTCTCTCCCCTCGAAGAAACGGCTTCTCCCAGCGCAGCTGCTTGTGTAAGTAGCAGTCAGGGTTCGACGTGGGGATTAAGCACGCCTTCTTTGTGCTGCAAAGAGCGATGAGAAACGCCCCCGGAGGCAGAATACAGGTTTCCTTTAGTTGGACTGCATGGGTCACACTGCTGCTCAGTGAGAAAGCCTACTTTTCTAATCACTTGTTGGGCTAAACAGGTGGGCTTTCTTCTCTGTACTGCTTTGTGTTGATGATAAGACTGAAGAAAATAAACAGCTTCCCAGAAAATGCTTCCTTCTGACGTAAAACTCTTGCATGTTGTACACAATCACACACACGCATACCTACCTACACTCGTGAGAGTTTGCAGAAGCCACTGGGTCCTCCTCATGGTGGCCAGACGGCCTTCCGCTCTCAGCAGAGTGCCGGTGCCGGGCCCCTGGCTTCCCCGTCGGAGTCCCCAGAAGGACTGGGGGGCAGGGAGTGGAGAGGGACACCTTTGTGAAGAGAACAGCTGGTGGTAGTGCTGAGCATGCTTCACACAGAAAAAATAGTAACAATGAAAGGAGCTCTCACGACCCTGGATTCCTCAGCGGGATTAGTTGTGCCTTTTGCTCCTGGTCCTCCCCTTTTGTCCATGTCATTGCTTGGTGACCCTGCAGGGTCAGGTAGCAGAGGAGGGAGGCGGGTAGGCATGGAAAAGTAATCTAGAAATTGTCTGCCAGGTATCCATAGGTCTACACTGTGCTAGAGGTAACTACGGAGAGGACTGGAGTAACAGGAAGGGTCTGTATCCGTTTTATCATCCACCCCACCCCTCTTTTCTGGGAATGATGTGTCCCTTCAATACTGCTTTTCTGCTTACACGACCCAGTTGTGAAGCGGAGGCCACTGGCCCCTGACTTACAGGGTTCCTTCTGCCATTAAATCAAACATCTCTTTCCCCGCCACCCCTCCATTATTAATGCATGTTTTTCACTAATGCCTTTCATTATCAGTGTCTTGATAAATCTGTTAGTGTGTCAGAGTGAACCATAAGAGTGAACATCTGTGAATAACATGAGCAAAGTGTGCACTGCCACATATTAGTAAGACGCCCTACCCAAAAAACATACCAACAAACAAAAGCATATCATTAGAACTGTGATCCTTCTCAACTCGAATGTGTCTTCTGTCGGGGACTTATACTACCTGTATAATACAGGTCAGTTGGCAACTAAGGGAAATTGTAATGAATACCATGAAAAAATGCCACGCTTGCATAGTCTTTTGACTCTCCATGGCTTTGGTTAATCAGCAACAAAGCCTGTCACTGTTTCCCTGCATGATCAAGAGTTGGCAATGGTCAGGAAGGTCTGGGAACTGTGGCTTTGGGACATGACATCTGGGTAATTAGCCTTTGGTTGTTCATGTAATGGTTGAACTCAGGCACAGTTCTGGGAATGCGGAGGGAGACCGGCTTACAACATCTCTGAAATCAGAGCCTTTCCACTGAGCACAGGTGGGGAGAAAATGCCAAGATTAGGCTAACTCAACCATCTGAGTGCACGAGACGCATTGCCTGCGTTGGCATCATCCTCCGTGAGTTCTGTCTTAATCTTGCGGTTTTCCCATCATGGAATCCCCTTGGCGTTGCCACACCTGCCCCGGACTTGGTGGACCTAATCTGATCTCAGTGAGATTCATGTGCTCAACCTCACTTCTCCTTTGGAATAGTCCCTGCGCAATCTTGGGTTCTCTAAAGACTCGAGAGAAAATGTAGCCCTTTAAATCTGTGTGTCCAGTGTGAAAATCATAGAATGAACTGGTGGAGGTTTCTCCTGTCAGCTGGTCTGACCCACTTTGCAGATGAGGAGACAGACCTAAGAAGATGGAAAGTATTATCCAAGGTCAGAAGTGATTGATTCTACCTGAGTAGGTGCGGGTCGGCCTAACCAACGTCGTGTTCTTTAACGAAATGTCGGAAAGACTGCATTCCAGTGGCTCTTTGGATCTTTCTTCTCTAACTAGATGGGAAGCCCCTCAGAAGAGGCCTGGAGGCAAAAGCAAGGGAAACAGGACTTACCTTCACCGAAAGGGCCTGAGAGAATTTTACTAATGGGAGGTCGAGCAGAGTGGGAAGGCCAAAAAGGCGCCATCTCCCTTAGTTTCTGGAATCTTATGTTGTTGGAGAAACTTCTAAATAATGTTGCTTTCCTTAGCAATGTTGTGCCCTGTTTTGAGACATGGATTTTTTTTTTTTTCTTCTAGTGTTTCTCTCCTGAGGCAAAGCCCAACACACCTGTCTTTTGTCCACTTCTCCAGCAAATTAGATTTGTCTCTGGGAATGTGTTTGTAACATACCAACCTACTGCAGACCAGCAGAGGGAGCTCCCCTGTTGAATGTGCCTGTTAGCCATTGTCCCCCACCTCTTTTACAAAACAAAAGACAAAAAAAACAACAACCCAATTTCTTGGCAACATTTTGAGAGATTTCAATAAAAAATGTCATGCGATTGAAACCGATTTCGAATAGACTGCAGCGTTTTGTTTTCATGGTGATGTGATGTTGGAACGAAGGTGTGCCCTCACTGAGACTTGGGCAGGTGACACGGCTGAGTTTATTTCACACTGGAGAATAACTCAGAGCATTCCGGGGTGCGGTGGCACCAGAGCTGCCGCTGGTGTCTTCTCAAGCTCCTCCTCCTTCCCCTCAGCTGCAAGCTGGGAGTTTGTCCTTCCAGCATCTGTAGGCCACGACTCCCGGGAGGGCACGTCAGCTGGCTAGGTGAAACAAATGGAGGGAGGCGCTTTCTATGCGCCACCTGTTAGCATCCCAGTGAAGGAGGGGTCAGGAGACAGACCGTGTCATTGAATGGTGGGTGGGGGGGCACTGAGGTAAAATCCCAGACTCAGTCTCTTGTCTGATGGCCTCCCCTCCCCAAATGAAAGATGCTAACTTGCCATCACACCCCACTTTGACCAGCTTACTGCCCAATACAGTAAGGCCACCAGCCGCAAGAACTGGCCGGGTACCTTTAGAGATGAAAGAGCAATTTGGTGCGGCCAACAGCCTGACTTCTAACAAGACCATGAACCTTGTTAGCCGTGAGCGTCCTATTTCCTTCCCCGGTCGCTGGTATTTGAAGTGGATGGAGTCTATTCAGTGTGTCACTGTGAAGGGGAGAGGAAGGGCTTTCCCATTGCTTTCGGGAGGCCCCAGAACAGCGCCTTCAGCTGCCCCCGCACCTTGTACGCACACATCTCGGCTCGTTTAAGGCCAAGTTCGTTTTTGCTATCAGTCGTGTTGCTGAGCGAGAGGAAAGTCAATACAACGCGCTAGTCTTGACACCCTCTGAAAGCACTCCACCACTTAGCCTCCACACCGTTGGCCCAGACACCCTTGCAGGTAAGTAGGGCTGAGGGAGCTTGGGAGCCCTGGTTCCCTCCCTGCTCAGCGGAAACCCGGAGGGCCTGCAGTCCCTACGGAATGCGGGCAGGGCTGCTCTCCAGTTTAGGGTTGTTACCTACCACCCCCTACCATCTGTACATCACCCAGCAGACAGGAAGCAAAAGGAGATCACATCCCAGCCAGGCCTTCCCGGGAGCGAGACATGCCCCTGGGGACGTCCCTGGTGACACCCTGGGAACATTTTTTTTTTTTTTAAGGTTAAACCTAAAATAATAAACACAGAAAAGGACCATGAGAAACGTGACCAGGAGGAACCAGAGGGACCTAGGAAACGGGTGTGGGTTGCTTTAAACTGCACTGCTGCCCCTTCCCCACCCTAGCGTACCAATTAACGCCGCAGAGGTGGTACCGAGTGAAGACTTGGGTCTTCACAGCCAGCGCCTTCATGAGGAATGCCACTGGCCGGCTTCTCCCTCTTGCGTCAGTGAGCCATCCCCTGTTGAGATCGGCCAAGAAGAACACGCAAAAGGTTTGGGTTTGGCCCAGCGTGTGTTTAAGGAGGGAGCATCCTCAGGTGAGCAGGCCATCCCTTGGACATCTCCTGTAGGGGCAGCCTCCTGCCCAGGTTCACTTGGCACGCACATGAAGGAAACCCCTCTCGTGTCGTATTTTGTGCCTCCTGCTCGTGTGTCAGGCAGTAGCCGGTGTTATAATGGGGCTCGGTTCTATAAGGAAGCCTGCAAACAAAACCACCGCCGAGGCCCTGTACACCTGGCCAGGCTGGCCAACCTGCCAAAAATAAAGAAGGTTTCAGGAAAGAGTTGGAGGATTCTGGCCACCTGTTCTGTCAATCCCAGATCCCAAAAGTCTTGGTGACAGTGGTTACGCAATGGGTCAGGAGGCTTTCTACTCCCACAAAGAGTCGTCTCGGAAATGGCCCTGGGCAGTTCTACCCTGTTCTAAAGGGTCACTCTTCGCCGGAATGGAGTTGGATCAAGTCTTCACCTTGACCTCCACGTCTGAGGGCCTGGATTCCCCCTAAGGTACAGTGCCTTCCTCCGGAGCCGGGGCCTGTCTGTTGGAAGACCACCCTATGAAGAACTGCAGAGCTTGTCTGGGGGCTGTTCAGCCCAAGACTTTAAACTGTTTCCAGACACTGGCCCTTCACTCTAAACCGGAAGCTCTGTGAAGGTCAAACTGTGAGGAGGCGCCATTTTGAGAATGTTCTGGCTCCCAAATGAGCCAGCCTTCTGGCTCCCTGATCTGTTAGGTTTTTCATTCATCCGGACTGTCTGCTTGAGCTCTCCCAGGGCCCAGACCCGTCGGACCGAGTATGCCCAGGTGGTTCCCACCTTGCCTCCTCGTTAAGAAACATTGCGCCAGGCGATTTTCCCCGCACTGCCCTGTATATCCACCTGGCCTGTGTTCGTTCACTGCACCCCCTCAGATGAGCTTTGTAGCGCTGGTTTTCCTTTCTGAGTCCTGGGTCTTCTCGGAGCAAAGTTGAAAGTTCAAGCTCTGGACTCTGGCTTTGCTAGCTACTTGCTTTGAGCAAGTTCTTTAACCACGCTGGCCTTCCAGTTGGGCGTTTGTAATGGGTTCCCTAATCCCGCCTGCAAAACACTGAGGGCAGTGGTTCTCGACCTGCCTCATGCCGCCACCCTTGGATACAGTTTCTCATGTTGTGGTGACCCCAACCATGAAATTATTTTCGTTGTTACTTCCTCACTGAATCGGGCAACCCCCAAAGGGGTCTCGACCCACAGGTTGAGAACTGCTGACTTAGTGCCTGTCACATAGAGAGTAAATATTAGTTAAAGGGGGGGGGGGGTTAGCATTTCCCATGGGCCTTTAAAAAAATGTGAATTTTCAGCATGCCGTAGAGAGCGCAGAACCAAGTCACTTCTGCCAAGCTGTGATAGTTCATACCCCTGGGGTTTCTGGGACAAGTGAATGAGACAGATGGTGGGGGAATCAGTGTGAGTGCCACCAAGTCTCCCACGGCACCTGCCCTGCACCCGGCTTGTGCCGAAGCTGCCAGCACTGACTCCCGACTAGGAGTCACTCCTGTAACCAACCGTGTCGCATGGGCCTCACTACATTCTGGATGTGATGCACAACATCAGGACCGTTGGCTAGGGATCAATAAATGAGCCCAAGAAAGCCCTTCCTCGCCTGGCTTCTTAGGTACTTCAACCCTGCCTGGATTTTACAGGTGAAAGGAGGCTTTGATCCTGTAGAAAGGAGTCATGGAGGTGGGCGGGAGAGAGACAGCCATACTTAGAAGCACATCTTTGATGTGGGAAATCAAAAAGGGGAGTTGTTCACTACAGATTCATAATAAGTGCGAGCAAGCTCATGCTTACTTTGCAAATTGAGTGATCCTACACGGTTCCCCACGGGATCCCCTTCCCACGCATCCGCCTGAAGAAAGCCCTTCCCCAACGGGAAACTTCTCGAGTGGGCATCCACTGACATCCAGGTCTCTTTCCTCACTGCTGCCTTATCTTGCTTTCCTGTCTGAGAAACGAGAAGAGGAAGACCCCCGGCCGGCCGGCCCACCAGCCCTCCCTGCACTCTGCCCACAGCTCCGCCAGGATTCTGCTCAGCCTCATTCCTCGGCCATAGTTTTACACTCCGTGCCTTTCGGGAGATTTTTCCCTTCGTGGTCTGTGTCCTTTGAGTGCCAATCAAATCCTCTATCCTATTCACCCTTCTGTCCCTTTACCGCTTCTGCTGTTGGTCTTTGTAGGACAAGGGAGTGTCCCCTCCAGCCGGGAAATAAGCACATGTGGCCACTGGCACTTCCGAAGCCGTCTTCAATTCCCTGGGATGCCGTCACCAACCGCCACAAAGCAGGGCCTTTAAAACATAGCAAGTTCTTCTCCTCCCAGTTCTGGAGACTGGAAGTTCAAATCCAAGGCACCGACAGGAAATCCTATGTTGGGTTCTAGGGGGAAGATTTTTTTTCCCTGTCTCTTTCCACTTCTGGCAACTTCTCGATGTCCCTTTGCTTACAGGTGGGTCTTCACAGGACATCTTTCTCGTGTGTGACTCTCTTTTGCGGCCCTCTCCTTTGATGAAACACCGCTCAAGATCCTACTGGGGTCGTCTCCTGTAACTGGTGAAAAACAGAAAGAGCGGGGTCTGGGGTTAGAACTGCAACATGTCTTTGGGAGGATTTTGGATCCTTTCATGTGATCCAAAGTCACTCACCCAGAGCTGCTGGGAATCGTTGGTCAGAGCAGGTGCTCCTGAAGCCCCACTGGGAGTGGTCTCCTGGTGTAGAGGCATCACACAGAGCCGTGAGGGGGCACTCCCAGAACTCTTCCTCCTGACGGGTGAGCAGCCTGGCCCCCAGATGGGCCCCTGTGCTTCCTAGACTTGTCAAGCCCTTTCCGAGTTGTCCTTAGGCTGAGCCTCAGTTCCCAGGCCTCGTCCTCTCACTTGGACGTGCTGGCTGGCTGGGGGGTGTAGGGTTGTGTGTGTGTGTGTGTGTGTGTCTGTGCGCACGCCACTCTTTGAGTGGCAGAGTGCATGGCACGCAACTGGGGCTCAATGTTTTGAAGCTGAGCCAATGGATTTTAAAGGCAAGTCGCTAGCTCTGTGGAGCCCTGGTGGCTCTTAACTAACGGTCAGCAGTTCAGACCCACTGCCATGAGGCAATGCCAACTCATAGTGACTCTGTAGGACAGAGCAGGACTGCTCCTTAGGGTTTCCGAGGCTCTTAGCTTTTCTGGAGGAGCAGAGAGCATCGTCTCCAATCCCACCAAGCTGCTGGCTTTGAACCCCAGCCTTGCTGTTAACAGCCCAATGTTTATCCCACTGCGCCCCCTGGGATCCT